TGTGTGCAGTAAAATTTGAAATGGTTTTGGTATCTACTTGTCACAATGTATGTTGCCTACTGGAAAAACAACTATACCAGCAAGAAAATAAATCATAGTCATATCCACATGTTTATAGTTTTATACTTGTAAGCTTTCTATTTTGAATTATTTAAGCATTAGAAAAATAAATTGTCATCCATCGACAACCATATATCATTGTGGCACTAAATTTAAGACTTTAATAATATAATTAGAAAACTTGAATATTTAAATAACTTTTATTGTTCATTGTTAACTGCAGTGAGCCAACGAACTCAATGATTGGTTTTATTATTACATTATGTAGTTGGAAATGTATACAAATATAATATACGCATATAAGTAATACGGATAATAATTATGACGTTGACCTATTGACAATATCGTTTCGGAGATTATATTTCTGATTTTTCAATTTATGACTATCGGTCAAATATAGATATTTAAATATTATTGTTATATGTATAGAAATCATAATACAAATGTCAATTGACAATCGTATGCTATTGTGGGGTTATCATTATATTTATGAATTACATTACCATTGGAATAATATATAAATACTCATAATAAAATATAAAATATTAATAATTCTTTTCCTGGTTACTTAATTTTAATACTGCATTTTGTTATTGTTATTTCCTATGTCCGTACAGTTGTGGATGCAAAATTGCAATTAATAAGCAAAATAAAATCTAATATTATACGTATAAAAAGTAATTAATAATGATTTATTAATTATGTATAACATTATAATATAATATTATCACGATTAAAATTAAAACTATTAAACAAATATATTTTGATTAAAAATTTAAATTATTGTAGTAATATTTATTTTTTGACACAACAATACCTGCCAAAGTTGTAAAAAACTATTGTGATAATTTATTGATAAATTACTACAATAAACAAGGTTTATAGCGTGATCGTTTAAAATATTAAATATAATATTATTGTTCTACGGAAATCGCAAGTAGGCATAGTATACGAATAAGTCATAATAGGCACGTGTATTATGTCACAACGTACACTAAATAATAATTGGTAACCACTAATTAATTACAAGCATACATACATTAACAATAATATATATTTATATATATACTAGTATTTTAATTATATAAATTGATAGTTTTCCATAATCGTATTTAAATGTTTAATTTTATTCATTTGAAAAAAATGTGGAAAGAATTATCGGTGATTACTTTTGGAAGGATTTAAACGTGAAAAATTGTTGGTGTTTGAGTTGTAAGATATAGATAGGTAATTCATAGATAATAATACGATATGAAAATCGTTTACTTTATCTCCGCTCGCTCAAGTCCCTTTATTTATTTTGTACACGTGCTTATAAATAAAATAAATGATAAAATATTTATTTAAAATGCAAAATAATAATATTATGATGAATTTCGGTTGGTATATATCGACTGTGATAGACGTCATTTTGCATGATCACGATGGTCACTCATACTGGCCGTATACAGGTTAAGGTATATTGGTATTCAATTAATTATTATAATATTATTACCAACAACGCTACATATCGTTTGAATATAATAATAACATAAGTATATCTTTAATGTACATATTTCACGTATGCCATTCGATGTACTGTGCGATTTTTTTGTTCATCCATACATAATATTATACTATTTATTATATTATATTGTATAAACACTATATGATAAAAAATATTGTAAGTTTAAAAATATTAAACTGTTCAGCAGTGTTCATAATATGTATCATGCTCGATTGATGTTATTAAATGCGTAAATACACTAGTTGTGGAAATCAGAAGAAAAAATCGTTGTTTTTATATTACAGATTAAATGAGAATATTATGAGAAACTTTTAAACTCGACACCTAAATACTAATAAATATTATACTACACATAAATATGAAATCTTGTTCGATGCTTATAATTATATATTATATATTTCAATGAGAAGTTGACGAAACAATTATTTCTTGAATCCGCAAATAATATTAAAACGTAAAATTATTACTTCAGTAGTCTATGGAAAAGGGTATGTCTGTGCAACTTTTTTAGTTTTTATTTTTAAAAAAATGCAATATAATGAAACGACGACGATATTCATCGGATGATACAGTAAAATCTGTCTTTTACGGACCCTTGTTAAGATGGGATCTTGTTCTGTGCGGAAATTTATTATGTTGTTCCGGGCAGATTTCTATAATTTAATATAGGATTAAATCCTTGATAAAACGGAAAGCTTTTTTTAGTCACATAAATCATATATACCTTTAAGCTTTAACAGACGGAAAAACATATCATAAAACTAACAAAAATATTTTTGATACCCACATTTATTTGGTTATTAAACAATTATTAAGGTAAGACTATACGTGTCGATAGATAACTACATTTTATCTTGAATCTATATCATCAGTGCTCATTATTGTCACACCGTATAGTCGTAGTTTTTCTGTCTTTCATCTCGTCTTACTTGTTCTCACAATGTCTTCAAAGAATTTTTTAAGTTTAAATGAAAAAATGAAAGTTCTAGAAGAAAGTTGTTAATTGTTAAAGAAAAAACTAGACAAAGCTTTACACGAATTTCGGAATTTTTAATTGCATTTTAATCTGTTTACTTTATTTTATTATATTATTATTTGATTAATACCTACTAAACATTTTGTTTTGCAAATTTTGGAATTAAAATTTATCATTATTTTGAAATATCTAATTATATTTAATTTATAATACATATTATGTAATTATTTACTAAAAATTAAAATTTACAGTAGTCTATGATATTTATTCATTTTCAGAATTTTAATTTTCATTATTGGCTGAAAAATTTTATAACCTTAAATGTTAATTATGCAGAATATTGTAACTCTATAGTACAGAATTTTTCTTTTTATTCAGTTACATGGAAACCTGCCTAAAACGGAAATTTTTACCGGTCCCGTGCAATTCCGCACAGGACAGGTTTTACTGTAGTAATTTTTTAAATATTTGTTTTACGTGAATATTTCAACAGTTGTTTTCAGCAAATTTAACATTTTCTCCACTATGGTATTATATAATCGCGGTACTTATATACATATTGTATAAGCCGCGAAAGACGCTGCCGCCATTATTTCATACCTATATATACATATAATTTGACTGTTTAAGTGTACAGTAATCATTTCAATTGTGTATAACTGTAATAGTAGTAAACAGCTTGACAGTTATATAGGTATGTATATTATTAATGTTGATGCCTATTTATTATTCGATTAATACGAACCTATCTCTCGGCAATAATACGTAATTATTAATAACATACATTTAATATATATTTAATTTAAAATGCGTTGAATTTATGTGCATAAGTGCATAAGTGAAGGCAAGTGTAATTCATAGAAACCAAACTATACCGTAAATTGTAATCTTTATTAAATTACGGACTTCTGAGAGTAAGACATGCACCTCGGTATAATAAGTATTTTTGACGTAAATTTATGGAGGTCGAAAGGTGTGTGTTACAATAAGCACAAATCACAATATGATCTGATTGGATTAAAAATAAGTATTGCAAAATTGATGAAAATAATAAACAAAAATTACAAAAGCACAAAATCGTTACCTAAGTAAAAGTAAATAGATAACAAATAATATATTTAACTCACTAAATTTAATGTTATAATGTAAAAAAAAAATATTAACTTAGGTACTTAAAAAATAAAATTTATTATTATTTATTAATGAACACATGGGTCACATAAAAAGTATTTTAACCTTATCTAGGTTTATAAAATGTTATTTTATCAAGACACATAACAAAAATTATGTAGTGAAAATTTCAAAAATATTTTTAATTTAAACTTGATAGATTAAATTTAAATTATTTGAAAAAGATAAGTTATTTCAACAGTAAATTAAAATAGTTAAAAAATTAATTAGGAAATCAACCAAACAATAAGTAAAAATGTTAAAAAAAAAACCACTTTTTAACGATAATGCTGACATCTTGCAAGTCAGTAATCAGTAGGTAATAGTATAGACCTACACTATATATTTCATTGAACCGAAATATCAAATAATGTGTATGTGATATTATTAAATTATTATGAAAGAGTTAGCTTCAATAGCACATCTAAAGTTCGATCAAGGAAGTGGTGGACGAGGCGATCAAAATTATTTTAATATATATAACTGTATTGGTACGGCCTCTCGGAATTATTTTGTTTTTCCTTTGACCCACAATACGAAAAAGCTCTCATTCTACATTTCTCACCAATTATATTCGTTTTAAAACACCTACAGCAGTAAATGAAAAGATGGCGATTTGATGAGACGTGTCTGCTGAAAAGCGCTCGCAGAAAATAATAACTGCATTACCGATCGTCGTAAGACCTTAGAATTTAACGCTGGAGATCTCAACCCGTCGTCTACGATCACAGGATGCGAGAATTTGTATCGTCTGGTTTTTTTTTTTCAATCGTACACCGCGAGCTCGATCGTAATTATATTTTTTTCGAATACATATTATAGTGCGCAGCATAGGTTAACCTGTGTTCGTGAATCGTTAGAAAACGGATTTTTAGGCCGACGGACTTTTATTTGAAAAGGCCAACTGACCAGCCGACATATACCTATACTCACGCACATTATGGTAATATCAAAAGGATAATATTGTAGCGAAATCGCAGTCGAGTCACACCGATCCGCGCCGGGTCCGACCGACTTCTCCTCGGCCGCGATCGCGACGGTCATCGACGGCGTTCGAACGCCGGCGGCACGTGAACGCGCGCGGCCGTGGCCGACGGGCGGGGGACGTCGAGGGGAACGGTGACGACGGATATTCGCGCGCGAAAAAAATAAAACGGAACGGAAAGAAAGAGAGAAAAAAAAAAAGGGGTACGACTTTGCGACGGACGTCGGTCGGTCGCTACCACCACCGTTGCCAACGAGTCGGACGAGTCGGTCTGCAGTCAGTGTCAGTCGATCAGTCGTTCAGACAGTCGGTCGCCGTACACGCGTATCTCATTATCGTTTCAGTATCGTCGCGCGATACGATTATATACCGTACTATACGAAAGACACGCACAAATAATATATAGACAAACGCAATTAAAATTATACAATTACACAAATTATTATTATTATTATTATTATTATTACCGTTGCCGTCGTCGCACTGCGCTCGTGTCGCGTTCTCTCTCCGCGCTAGCTGTACACCGGAGTATTCTTGCGCACCCGTGTGTGTGTGTGTGTGTGTGTGTGTGTGTGTACACGAGTGTGTGTGAGTGTAAGTGTGTACGGTCGCGTGTGCCATCGTCGCAGTCGACCGCGTATATGAGTACGCTCGTCGCGTCCTGTTGTACGTGCACGTCTGTCGTGCTGCGCGCGTCGTCCGTACCGCTTGTCGCCGTCCGCGTGCGTATCCTCCGCTTGACCTACAATCCGGGTCCCGTCAACGCATCGCCGCCGCCGTCGTCGAACACGCCGATATCTCTCGTCCGCGATCGATCCGCGTGTCCGTCACAGCCGTCCTAGTGACAGAAACGGACGCAGAAAAAAAAAAGAAAAGATCAATAAATATCTCTATATCCGCACTCGGTCGATGATCGCATAAAACATAGCTTGACGATATAAATATACATATATATATATATATATAAATATATATATTGTTACTTGAAAACGAAGTAGTGTAAAGGTACACGAGGCCAGTGCGAAACCGTCGTCCACACGAGCCACCGCAACGGCGATGACGCCCTGAAGACGTCTTCGGATTGTCACTGCCGCCCAACGCACGGCGCAGGACGTGCAGCCCGGCTCGAGGTAAGTACAAGTATATGCTTGTTATTACTTACTTCTTTTTGCCCCACAAAAATCCACCCTCATCCCCCCGGCCAGTCGAGGACGGGTGTCGCGTGCTCGCGAGTCTCCGCCGCAGTCCGTCTGGACGTGCGTTTTTGTGTTCTCTCCGCTGACGACGTTTCGCCTCTGCGTTTCCGAAGAGCGCATTTTTTTATACTGTACATTTTCTTCTTGACTGAAATATTTTTCTTACCGCGACCCTAGTCTCAGGTACCCATATGTAATATAACGTACGGTGGATCCGATGCGGGGCCTCTCGGTTCGTTCCGTTTTACGCGATTCCATCGAAAATTTAAATATAATCTTTAATACGTATGATCGTTATCGTCGTGGAAGCAGGAAACCGTGTCGTTATCGTGCGACTCCGCGGCCGGTTGAGCAGTGTATGGAGGGCACAGTTATTATTTTTATTGTAATAATTATTTTTTTACTTTTTTTATTTAATATTTATATTATTATTTATATAATTTGATATTTTTAAACAATTAGTATTATTATTGCAATACATAATCTCGGACTACTACTGCGCACAGCATTCATTATATTATTATAGTCTATAACAATAACATTATGCGTACGCATTCCTTTTTTAAATGGTTTTTCTTAGTCTGTATAATATTATAGTTACATACTCATTATTAAATATGTTTATCCATTTTATGCAGTATAATAGCACACACGCTGCATACACACACACACACGTGTGTGTGTATATAAAAATCATAATATATCTTTACACGTATCGGAACAAGCCATTATTACATACCTATAAAATATAAAGCAATACACAAATGAGTAATTTTATATCATTTTGGGTTATTGCGTCCGTCCGTGCTTGTGTAATTGTGCGTTTGTGCTTGTGTGTGAGAGTGCATTAGAACGAAATTCGTTTTATCAATTGCTAAAATATTCCACATACAATGCGTAAGTAACGATTACGATACACTAAATATAGGTATCAGCTAAGTAACTATATACCTAAGTATTGAATATCTAAAATTAAACATATAATCTTAAGTATGTATTAAAAAATTATTAGTCTATTCTTTTATATTCTTTCTTCAAAAAAAAATTTTAAAAAAATATGAAAATTTATAATCTGTACAATATATATATATATATAACGCGTACAATAAATTAACTTGAAAAAAGAAATCAGGAGGCGTGTTGAGGTAATCACCTAATGGTAGCACCCCTAAATTATTAGTCTTATAGTTTTAATATAAACGCTTTAATTCCATAATCATTTAGGTTTGTTGACATTCTCGTATAGGACTATAATTTTTTATATAATCGTTATACCCATATTTTCCGTTTGCATTGCGTCAGTATTTACTTATTGAATATATATGTATGTATATCTAGAACACAAAATTCGAATGTTTTTACATTATTTAATCTGTTCAAAATGATAACGTACATATTGAATACAAAACATAATATAATTTGTGAAAATAAACAATTTATATATTAAATTAATTAAAATAATCATAATAATATGCAAATAATTTATATTTTACAATTCATAGTATTGATTTCTTGTGGTTTATGGATCATCATTTTGTTATATATGAATTGTCAATTAAACTTTTACGATTTTACAATAGAGTTTTAGTTACTAGCACTGTATTAAATATTAAATTTTATAAAATTTTACCTACTGTTAATAGTATTTTTTTTTTTAATTATTGAGTACATTATACATAAATTTAAACATACAAATACATCAGTCGCAGCATATTAAAGTTGAATGCATACTATAAAAATCATAAAATATTCTAAGTATTATATTATTACTGTTGTTTTCAATTCGTTCAACTGTTTAATAATAATAATAATAATAATAATAATATACTTTTCGTGCTATAATACGTCAAACTCAAGTGTTTATAGATTCAATTGGCAATTATAGTGCTCTTATAATACATTACATTACTGATTGTATTTTTGTTTTACTTGTTATCCATTTTCACGGCAATAATTTTACTTCCGTTCTTATGTTCTACGTTTGATGAGTAATTAATAAGTATGTAATTAAGTATTGATAGATTATTATTTCACACCTTATGTTTAAATACTATAAAAAAATAAATAGTAATTTTAAAATTGTCAGAGAGTAAAAAAGTCTGATAAAACCTCTTTCGTTCTTCTTCGAATAAAATTTAATTTCGTTGAATTAATTCTAAAAAAAAAAACCAGCCGTCATACTGCAGGATGACTTTTCGTGGAATATTGAAGGTTCTGTGTGCTATTTAAATTTTAAGAATATGTTTTTGAGTGGGACATATTGTAATATATTTTTATAGTGCCTGTGATCTTACAAAGAAACGAATACGGCGTAATATTATTCGCTTTAAGTTTCGTAAACCAACATTCCTAACATTTTTTACAAGACCTAGGTCGCGTCGGTAATACCTGAGCGTGTTTTTCGATCGAATCGCAAATAATGTCAGTGTATTCGGAAACGTTAACACATAATATCTTATGTACTACATAATAATAAAATATAATGCAATATAATCGTATGCATTTTCAATATTTACATATTATATAGTATATATTCGAGTCTATAATGGAATACGCTGTCGGCAGCCTCACGGCTGCAACTAGCGTGTTTCTTTTTTAATGTTTTCAATGCACTTTCGCGTCGCGGAGATCCAAGGCGAAGAGAACAGTCTGACGCGCATATAATCTCGTCAAGTTCAAGGCATATATATTATGTATTATTATTATTTTAATATATAACGTACTAAACTTATTATACCTACACCGCGGCTACACCTAGTGCGAGTATTGTACAAAACTACAACAAGTATAATATTATTGTGTCTCGTTTGTTGAAATATCTACATTACACATCATAATAATTATATCGGCGCCGGTCGAAGACGTCTCGTAAAAACAACTTTATTACGATACAGCGACGATGCATATAATATGTTTACATATGAGTAGGTATTGTAATAATAATATATTAATATATGTGTAATAAGTACCTCGACTCTCGAGGCCGGTTCAAGTTTATAACGGAATCGCCGAACGTATGTGTAATGGTATAATACTATAATATATAACCTGCATAATATATTGTATAGAGCGACACGTTGAGTTTTGATTTTTGAGATTTTTATGTATATTTTGATAGATATAATAAAGATCGTAATATTTTTACGAACAACGCTTTTTCTTTATGACATTCGAGTAGCGTCCTGTTGCGATACAGATTTTTTTTTCAAATGAAAACCTTTTTTTAGATTGTTAATGCTAATTGATGATTTTTTTTCTTACGTAATTCTAACGAATTTTTTTACATTCTTGTACAAACCATATCGCTAAAACTACTATTTTAAACAAGTGTTTTAAGTTAAAATAAAATCAAAACACGATATCTAAGCTTCTGAAATGTATAGAAAACCGTTTTATAAGCCTGCACATTTCCAATAAAATCATTTTGATTAAAATTCAAGACACCCCTTTTTGGTTTAGCACAGCTGAATAAGTATTTCGTTTTACTCATCACCCGCTAGCTGCTAATTGTGGTTTTTCGCTTGTTAGATTCTTATATAGCTAAATAATATGTAAAACAAGTATACATAAACACAGACTAATATTTTGTGGCCACTCAAAAAATATCGAATAATACGGTCGACGCATGGAAATTGTATTTTTTCCTTGTCTTGTAAAGTGCAAGTTAAACATTATGACTTATATAGGTTGTGGCGTGATCAAGTTAAGAATTTTTTCACGGTTTCTAATTAATCAACACCAAAATTTAAGTACTTTATATCTATTGAAAACGGTATGAAAATAATTAATTTTTACTTAATACTTAAATACTTCATGTCAGGAATAAAAAAATGTCTATGAAACTGCTGTGTACAAAAAGATGAAAAGCAGAACGTATCGATGATAAAATTAGCATAAATATTATATAATATAATTTATATATCATTATAATATATATGAACATTTGTTGTATTAAGCTATATCTGTATTTGATTTTAACATCATCCTAGTTCGTAAATATGTTTTTACGTCTAAAAGTATGCTAAATATTCTCAATAGTTTAACAAGCTACATAATAATATAATAATATATTTTAATAGCATTGAGTGTCCAAATTGTATTAATATTTTTAAATTTATTATCGTTCGATTAGAACATATTTTTATTAAAATAATTGTTTCTTATGAACGCAACCCGCATACAACATTTCACTTTGTAAGACGATATAATATTTTAATATTAAACATAATATTATATTATTATAATAATATAGCTGTAGGCGCCATATTTTAAATACATGTAATATACATACAATATAATTTTTCCGCAACGGTTGGTTTTTTATGTTTTCACCGATTTGAGTACTTCAGTGCTAGTCGACCTTGATTTTTTTTCGCGTATTTTTTACATACTAAATATTTCATTCGATTTCTTTCGTAGATATCACGTATCACGATACGAGTTCGAACTGTACGCATATAATTATAATGTATAGGGTATATTATGTATAATATTGCTCGTATAATATTTATTTACTATTATTTATTACAATTAAAAATCACTATGATTAGTAACTTATTTTTATTTTATAATTTGTATTATTACAATTCCACATAGCTATTTCTGTGTACGCAAAACTGATAAATTAATTGTCGTGACGCATACAATTTTTCATTTTTTTTTTCATTTCACCAATAAAATAATGAAATATTATGTACCTATAGTATTAAGTTAAATAATATAAAAGTCATACAAAATTATATTTTTATGACATACCAATTTATTAATTTTTGCGTCTTAAAAATTCATTTTTAATAATAACATTGCAGCATATTATGTTTTATGCTCGTATTTCGTCTTCGCACTAGCCAATATAGTATAATGTAGCTTTTTCAGTAGCATAAAAAGTGTAAAAAAGAACTATTTTACTATTAAAACAATAATCGGTAAAAACG